ATAAATTTAAAAATGTTATTAAAGTTATGAATGATATAATAATATTAACGAATGAAGGGAATCTTTCATGATTATTTCAGACGTACAATGATTTAATCAGTTAGTCAACGAAAAGATAATTTTTTTTTCTCTCGCAGTAACGAAATTTAGGCAGTCTCATTATCATTTATAATATTCCATATTATTTTAAACTCTCGATAATAAGGACAGGGCCACGTACCGCTCAATGACATTTTTACTTTTTTTTTTTATTAATTTTTAAACACTATCAATGTACGAAAACAATATTTGACTTAGTACCTGTCAAGCCCCGGTAAATATGGCGAAAACTACCATTTTGTTAAAATATTTGCAAACAAATATTAACAAAATATAAAATTCAACAGTTTCATGTAAATAAAGAAAGACGATCTCAAGGCCCACTATAATAAAGAGATAAATGTAAGCTTAACGTCCATCATAATTATGTTCTATAGATACTCTTTAGAAAGTTTCACACAAATTAAAGTGCACAGCTACAACGGTAAAGGGTACAATGAACAAGGTTTTCCAATTACGTACTGCCTGGTGAGCACACTAATTATCTCACTCTTAGAGAAAAGGAGAGAGGGGTTAATTAAAAAATTTTAAATCAACTATAATGAAGTAAAATTATTTGTCCAGTTGTGTCTTCTAGAGGACCAACTGTAATACAATAGTAATTTTTCAAAAAACCCCGCCAAAAAAACCACGTGATATGTCCTGGCCAATAACTGAGCAAATAAAAAAAGGCCTTANGTAAAGGGTACAATGAACAAGGTTTTCCAATTACGTACTGCCTGGTGAGCACACTAATTATCTCACTCTTAGAGAAAAGGAGAGAGGGGTTAATTAAAAACGAGTGATCGATAGTTGCGAAAAAAAAATGTCATTGATAAACCGTGAGTACAGCAACGAAAGTACTTGATGGCAGTGAGATCTGCTGTTCCGTAAATGAGTAAGTGAACGAGGAGCGAGAAAATCGATCGAGTGCTCGCTTACCCCCTCACGACCATGCAAAAATTTCAAAGGCCGAGGCCGTGACGGAAGCGAAAATTAAGTGCTCTACCTCTCGTCAGTTGTCATCCTGAGAACGTCTCTGTCTCTCTCTTCTCTACTCTTCCCCGAGAAGAGCGTATTTGCGCCACATCGTCTTTGTTGAAACTTTTGCATTATCGGGGAAAAAAAAAGAAGCAGAGTGAAGGCAAAGCGCAAGTAATGAAAAAGTATTAGCTCCGCTCACGCGTTTCTCACTTTTTTTTTTGCGACCTTAAGCTCTCCGTGATTGCTCGCGGTGTTTTCACGCCATCGCTACTATTTTCCAACTCCGTTGTTGACTGCACATTCATCCACATATTTTTTTTTTGAATTGAAGGAGCGAAACAAAAAAAAGAGAGAGGAGTATAAAAATGGGCCACGCGCAGAAAAATGCCCGCCAAATATTGATAAAATTGCGTATCAGGAGAAGATGAAGAGCACAAGAGGATACTGTGACTAATTGACCCTCGCGCGTGTATCACATGAAGCGCGGGTAGTGGCGGTAACCGCGAGTTGGAACGTACAAGCCAAGAGTGCGGAGCTATCGGAAGAAAGGCTCGATGAATATTAATACGCGCGATCTCGCTAGTGATTTATCGGGCGGAAACGCGCGAGAAAACAAAGTTTTTTTCTTTTTTAACCAGAAATTCAGCTTTTTTTTTGTTTTATTTTATTTTTTTTTTGTTTTGAGGACACATACACGGAGGAATGGAGCGAGTTATTCAATTCCGGTATCGACATGAAAAAGTTAGTCGTGCATACATATTACTTATGCATAGGAAAAAATCTTCCAGGCCGAAGAGAGTTGGGGTTAAACCGTAGGGGTGATGATTTCGATTCGACCAATGGGTACTATTCAAATTGCTAAAACTCGCCGTTGGCTTTAGATGCTCCATTGAATAACCGCGGGAGCACTACGACTAACCTGTCAATAAGTAAGTACGCGTTTAAACATTATTAATATCTTTGACGAATATCCATGAAGTTTCCTACGTGTACCTACCTACCCTTTATCGCTACCCTCCCCCTAAAAAAAGCCAATTTTCGAGCGCATTATATATTTTAACCCCCCCCCCCCCATATTTTCGAGCCCTTTTATCTCTTGTTCCCTCTTTCTCGCGTACCTACACTCTTTTATCTTTGCCGAGAATTCTCAACTTTTCTCGGCCGAAAAAATCCAAGGTGCCGGTTCACCTTCCGTATATATGTATATTTATAGATAGGGTATACATATAGGTGTACCTGTGCATGTATTACAACTCACTCGACAGACAATGTTCACGTTATGGAGCTAAGTGCACGCCACTGCGAAGAAGAAAGATCCTCTCGTTTTTAATGGAAATTGGAGAGCCAAGAAAAGAACGCTGCCATATTCGAGAGCCAGCATTGTTTTACTCTCTCGGTCTCGCGTCCGATAATTGCAATCGCGGGAAGAGGGTTGGGCCCCGTGGGTTGGTTCGATTCGATAGACCAACGAGTCCACGTGGTTACATTTTTTTATGTATACGTATACGTCCGTGAAAAAATAATGCTTTTAAACTTAAAAATGATGCACCTATGCTAAAAGTCAACAACGATTTCGCCTTATTTGTACCCCCTGATCCAGCAACCTGCTCAAAATGGAAAATACTCGTCGTTGCGTGCTCTACGTGCACACCCCATCGGGGCCACTTTCATTTGTCTCGAAAATATTATGTTTGGTGGAAAAAGAAAAAAAAAAAAAAAAATCGCTCGATTCCCATAACCGATACCGATCCAGGGAACGATCGGATGTAGCACTTTTTGATCTTCCTCTTTGCTCACCCACCCCCCACCCGTAAATAACAAGCGGGGCAGCTTCCGTCCCATCCTGCGTCGTTGTAGCAGCGCGCAAGAGTTTTCGGGGGTGGGTGGCGCCCACACACCAGATTAGGGGTGCAGAGAAAGAGAGAGGACACTGCGTCGCCCCCTAGTGGCGGTGACGACCATTTCGAATGCGTCGGAGGGGGTGCGAGCGAACGGGCCACTGGCGGAGGCAGTCAGTTGTGGATACACAGTGCGTGCCGTCAGTACACTCGATTCCTGGCCACGGAGGAGATTCGCGCGCACACCCTCGCACTCGGGTCCCATTTTTTTCTTTCTCTCTCTTTGGAGTACCGCATACAGTGTGGCTGCTGGGCCAGGTACTTTGACAACGGCGACCACCACGATCACGACGACGACGGTGGCGGCGGAGCCTACGGTGGAGACTGGCGCTCGCGAGGATAGGTCGGTACAGTGCTCCTACACCTCGTGATTTTCAATCTTCCGTCATTTGGTTGTCGTTGTTTATTGTTGGGCACGAGCCCGTGTGTGTGTGTGGATCGCTCGCTTATTTCCGGAGGATTTGCCGCTTTTTGGTCTCGGCCACCGTGTCGAGGCAAAACACCCTCGCACTCGGGGAAGTTGCGAGCTTCGGTGGATTTGAATTTTTGCTTCTTAGCGCTTAAAGCGTCGTACAAACTTTAGGGTGTGAAGTCTTACCTTTTCATCCGAGTCGTCGGATTATCCGCGTGAACGTTTCCAAAGCACGCCCCACAGCTCTTGCCGTCGGTTAGCACGTGCACTCGTCTTATTTTCTCGTTGGGTCGTTGGTATCATAAAAAAACACCACCATATCCCCGAGATGGTCGTTTATACGCGCGTTTTTCAAACCTATCGCATGTCTGAAAAAAAAAAATCCCATAGAGATACGTGTACCCTCGTAAGCAGATAGTAGCCAGAAACAACCCCCCCCCCCCCCCTTAAAGTAGCATCACGCGAGTTTTGACGTTAAAAAAAAACCCACAAGTGCATCGTACTCGGTGAAAACGACAACAAGCCGTACGGCTTGCTTTTTTTTTTTTTTGTTTTGCTTTGAAACTGTTCAAGGACATCTATAGGGATGCCTGCAATCTGGTTTGGAAATTCTAACGCAATAATGTAATGAATTGTTTTTCAATTACATGGCCGAAGAAAATGGACTGTGATTAAAAAAAAAATAAGCTCGCAGATGTTCGTAACAGCACCAAGTTGTTATTGTATCGTATAAAAGAAAGTTGATGTGACAACAAATAAAAGCTTCGTACCCTACGGTTGATTTCACAGATAGCAATCGCATATTATACTCATTTCCGGGATCGAAGGAAAGCGAGCGAGCATCCAATGTACATTTTAAATTGTACTCGTTCGCATGAGCCGGCAGTCAATCGATGAGGGGGGAAAAACAAAAAAAAAAAAGAAGAATCCAAACGATCGGTATATCCACGATTCCGCGCCATCAAACAAATCCAACGAGAATACACATACGCGGGTATTATATATCCGAGGCAACGTGGCAGGGGAAAAATCACTCCAGTATATTATCAGCTTGGGGAAGCGATGTGATGGGCCTTCATCTCTCGCTCTAATCAGATAGAAAGCACTTACCCGCGTATTATAGGCACACACACGCACGCGCGTCACGTACTGATGTTATTGTTATTGGTGTTGTTGTTGGCTTGTCACGCGCAGTTTGGATTTTGGTCCACCTTGGGTTGTATTGCATGCGTACACACGTTGACAGGCGCTGTGGATTACCCGTTCGCCATTGGTGCCGTGATAATAAAACGTCAACATTGGTAAGTATAGACATTGTAAGGATACGTAGCTGATGTAGAGCGATCCCCGAGGGAGGCCTGTGGGGGAGAGAAAGGGCTTTCGTCTCGACTTAAGTTTCCCCGAGTGAGAGGGTGCCAACCGGCAGAGTAGGTACAAGGTACTTTTCTTCTCTCAAACGAGATAAAAGCTTGGTGGGGCTTCCTTGAAACTGTGTAACTTTCCAAAGCGTGTATCACGAGTGAGAAAATTGATTTTTCTTCCGGGGATGAGCTATTTACTTTGGTTGTCGTTTACAGGGACGCAGGCAAGGGAGAGGAGGAGGAGGAGGTGACGGCGAGGCCACGGCGGAGGCGACGGCACCACGCGCCGGCCACGAGAATGCCCCCGACGATCGGGGAGACGCTGCGCGTCTGGTTGCTGTCGGCCCTCGTCGTCCACGGGGCGGTCGCTGGCAATCCGGATGCCAAGCGGCTCTACGACGATCTGCTCTCGAACTACAACAAACTCGTCAGGCCCGTCGTCAACACGTCCGACGTGTTGCGGGTCTGCATCAAGCTCAAACTATCCCAGCTCATCGACGTCGTGAGTATATACCTTTGCTACTTTTTTTTTTTTTTTTTTTTTCTTTTTCGGCTTGCCTCCCCAACAATTCGCAATCATCAGAGCGATGAAAAATAATTGCAGCTGCAATTGAGAAAACACGCCCCCCCCCCCGGCCTAGATCTCGTTAAACTGAAGAAGATACCGGCTCACTCGTAGCGAGAGGTAAGCCAGCAAAGGGATGAGCTTCCTCCTTGCCCCTCGACTCCTAATGAGAACGTCACGTGGCCAAGACGCGCTGATGAACATTCGCGCGAGGGGGAACAATGAAGTTTCGGGAGGCCCCCCCCCCCTACGCATGTAAATGAGAATTGGAACTATGCGCGCGCGCGCGGAGGTACGAGTGAAGAATTCTAATTGAAACATCCGGGGGCTGGGGAGGGGGTGTTTGCGGGAAAAGGGTATATATTTTAGGGATCGTCGGCTGATTTCCCGATGCTTTTCTTTTTGCTCGGTCGAGTATTTGTAGTTCGAGGCTAAGGGGTGTACGGACCGGGAGTTATTCCTATAGCACTCGGTTCTGCTGACACAGCGCGAGATACGCTGGCGTTTGTTTTTAGATGGCTGATCGATCGCGCACGCGGTTAACTCGCGATCGGAAAAAAGAAGAGAAAAAATAAGACAAGAGGGTCTGCATTTTTCAGAGAGTTGGTATTTTTTTTTTCTTGCTCGGGGCAAGTAAAGGGGTGAAGGAGAGAAGGAAAAAAAAATAGCGGCTCCGTACGGGGCGATGCGCATCCACATAATGTATATCGGATATAGATCGGATGCCTGTGGCCTCACCCCATATCCATATTTGCGGACACGAGTATAAACCACGTATGTTTACACGTGAATTACCAGGTCTGGTGTACACTCTTCTGTTCTTGCTGGTATCTCACCCACGCTCACCAGTACTTGGTTACCGTCCGATAGCTGTACGGCACCATGGAGTGATTCCTTCGAAAAAAACTCGAGTTTAATATTTCACGGCCACCGTGCTAATCCTCCGAACTCCCCTAAAGTCGTTAGAATTTTATTATCATATGCATGCGAGTATGTGCCCTGTTCGCGGGAAGCTTCGAGCTTGGCAGCAAACTCCCAGCGAGTTACTCTTGTACGTGGGAACCGAGTTTGGTTTAATTATCAAGTACATCGTACCATCAATATTTTCGCGGAGGGGCGAGCATAGCGTGAGTTTGAGCTTTTTTGGAAAGCATTGGAGTCGGAGGTGAAGGGTCGCGAAAAACAGTGTCGGAGTTTAAGGCCACGAATGAATCGTTAAACGTGGTACTTGCAGTGGAAAATCGAATCATGTATAGGGAGTGAGAATCAAAGCGCGAGACTCGCGCATCACCGAGGAGGAGGAGACCAAGCGGGAGGGGAAAGAAAAAGTACAGCTGGGAAAGTCGATTGTCAACTTGCAGTACACGCGTGGGTGACAATGGACACACGCACCGGATAAATCGGCACTTTTTTTTTTTTTTATTGCGCTCAGTGTCACCGCGAGGTGAACAATAAATTCGTCGTACCGCGGAGGAGAGATAACATTGTTCGGCGGGGCCTTTGTTTCGAGCGATACGCCTAATTTTCCGGATACGCTCCGGCTGCGAGCAGGGCCGATTAATCTCGGATGCGGCTGCTGTTGCCGAGCCGACGGCCTGGGAAAATGCGCGCTCGGGTATACGCCATTGCGATCGATTTGGTGATTTTTGGCTTTAATTAACTCGACGGGCTTGTGCAGAAAGACTCGCGTCGGCTCGCTTTTTCAATGGAAACGAATGCTCTTCCCGTCACTCTGCACGGACTGACATCCGTTGCGTACTACTCCTATATTGTGGATGGGAAATGAAATTTAAAAAAAAAATAATGATAGAAAAAAGGATCAAACCAAGCTTTCGACGAGCACGCCGCTCTGTAGCAAACTGATTTTTCAATCATTTGTAGTTGAAATTACTTTTGACAAAAAATGCCGTTTTTGTTTTTTTTTTCTCAAGATGCACACCTTTAAAATTAAGATAATGTATGAATAAGGGGCCATTGCTGCGAGGGATGAGTAAAAATGTACCACACGTGTTGTGGGATCTATTTTCAAGTATAGCATCGTGAACCGAAGAAAAAAAGAAAAAACTGTTTCAGATAGCTCGAGAATTATCTCGTTACCCATCAAATGTATTTCATATTGGTTGATAAACACTTGGTGTCCTCTCTCGGCACACGTCCAACGAGCCACACGAGGCGATTCGCTGCATCGAGCAAAAATAAAGCACGAGTAATCTGGTAAATAATAACGCGAGCCTAAATCAGGAAGGCGCCCGTGGGATTTACCCGGGAAATCCCCGCCGTAGCGGAAGCAGCGAGAGTCGATTAATTCACCTCGCCTCGCTATATTCCCAAAACAGTACATTGTAACCGGTCGCGCGTGTTCAATGACTCTCACGAACGCGATGGCCATTTTCCCTCTCGAACGTCCCACATGATGGATCTCGCGCATTCAACGATCGACCCTGGCACTTCTGCTTCGTATACATCTCGCAGATAAGCGGCCCACCTGTAACTGGCTGTGTTATTCAATTTTTTTTCAATCACCCCTATTTTTTATTTCATTGGTAACCTCGTTCCGTAAACTTGCATAACATCATACTCCCGAGAATTTTTCCACGTCAGCTATTTATTTCCGAGCCATCTGAAATTTTCCAGTCGTATGCTCCCAACGTCGGGCGTTACGGCGTCCCTCTGCCTTATGTATCCTGCCGGTATCCTGCCGTTGGTTCAACTCCCTCATCCCAGTGGGATCGAGCAGCAGAGGCCTCGAGCCCGTGGGGAGACGTCCCTCGCCGAGAATTGCTAAGATAACGATAATTTTTCAATTTCCTCGCGGTTCGCTGGTACACCCCTCCTTCTCCCCGGTCTCTTGATTACGTTTTAATATCGGGGAAATTAGATGGGCACGTTGAGCCGCCGGAGGAAATTTAATGCGGCTGTCTCTCGAGATCCCCGATGCCGCTGGTGTATCGTCCCCCTTTTTTTTTTTTTTTTTTTAGTCTCATAATCTCAGAGCTGGCGCGAAATTTCCATGTCTATCGCATTTGGACGCGCTTTGCTTTGGGCCAATGTAGCCGAGAAGTGTATTTTCTTCGTTGTACAAATCAAAAAGTTACACGAAGGAGCTCAACCAAGACGCGCCAGAGTGACGTTTCGTAAAATCCTGCGCATCCGGTCGGTCCCGAAAGACGGTGCGAGCCGACGTGCCTCAAGCTGTTTCCCTACACATACGTCGCTCCCTTTTTATCCAGAGCAGCCACACTCGATGCTCTCTTAAAAAATGCATGCCTCGAAACGAAAAGCTCACTCTTTTTTCACCTTCAAGCGTGACTGATGCACACGCGTGCCCCGCTCGGGGGTGTTTCGATCGGCAAGAGGCGCACGTTTGTACAAAGGTGCTTGTACACATCGTGAAATATGTATACGGCTATTTCATTTTGGAAAATCTATCCGGTAGAGCCAGCAACGGCGCACACGTACTGGTGACTCGAGAAACGTATAATGTAATAAGCACAAGTAGGCATCCGCGGCAGTGATGTGGGGGAGCTTGCGGCTACATCACTTGAGCTGATCATAATTCGACCGCGGCCTAATTAACCACGTATAACCTGGTATACATGTACAACTGTTATATCAACTGATGGTGATGCTTCCATGCGGTACGGCCTCTCAGCTGCATAACTGCAGTGCATAGATAGCGGTCGTCGCTGATCGTTTTCTATCCTCCTCCCTTGTAAGTATAGGTGTTGTATATGTACCCCATAGACAGGAATAGACGTTCGTATTACTGCGTTTCACTGGTTTTCCATCCGATTTTAGCGTTACCAACTGATGGAAGGCGAGCTTTTTCCTACATCGTTTCAATATCGCTTTCGACCGTCAACGGCGTACGTTTTTCTTTTTTTTTTTCTTTATACGCGCGTAGTATTTATTGGATCTCGGTTGCTTTTCAAAGTGAAAAACCAGACGATCTACATCGGAATTCCTCAGATAAAAAAGCTCGAGAGAGCTTTAAAGTTGGGTGTCCAACTGGGATTTTATTTTTCGATAACAGCTTCAATGTCGGTGGCTCGGGACAAGAAAACGCGACGTGCACCTCGGCTTTCCTCGAGGCATCGACAATACGCCAATCACGGCCACGGAAACCAGAGTGCGTGTTGAGGGGAAAAAAGAAAGCTACCCGCCCATGGTCCATGGACAATGAAAGCAGCCTGCCAGCTATTACACCTCGCGGATATGTGACTCCGGTGTAAAACTTTGGTGGCAGGAGTGTACCTACAGACGCGCTGCAACATAAAACGACAGCGACGGCTTTCCCGGGGCCAGAAAGTTCATCCCCCGATGGTGAAAGGGGAGAGGGGGGACTCCGGTTTCGGCCAAAGTTTTGCTCTCTGCCGCGCCAAAACGTGCCAGCGAGCTAACTTTTCCCCTCTTCACCTGCTACCCCTATACACGCTTGTGCGTGCCTACACATCGGTGATGGGTGCAGGCTTCGCCGAAAGGACAATACGTCGCGGTGTGGTACATTCCGTAGGTGTGGGTGTTCGATTCGATGAAATTTTATAGCCCCTATAGTTTTTCCCGAAATGGCCGAGGGTGGTATGCCGAAAAAAAAAAAAAAAAAAAAAAACCTATCGCACCACGGAGCGCGTTAGAGCGGGAAATGGGGCGTAACTAACGTACCCTGCGTGTCGATGAAAAATCGCGAGAGGCGCCACAACCTACTCGCGAATGGGAAAGATAAACCACTGATGGTATATAAGTATACCCTCACGTGAAAAACGAAGCTTCCACGGCTGGGAGATCCGAGGTGGCTAGACCGTCGTGCAAACATACTTTCTTATCGTCTCGCTCGCAGAAGCGATGACTTTCAATGGCCCATCTTGGGGTTGAAAAAGTAAAACTCTGTACAGCTACCAGCGCGTTCACACGCGACACTATTGGAGCATTGAACAAAT